ATAGAATAATGTAAAGATATGAATATGAAGACCGCATGGCACTAGGATAAACACGATATAGAAATGAAAGAAAGTTAAGGGACTTCTCCCGGAATTGCCTCCTTCTAAGCACTATAACTTTCTTTCATTTCTATATCGTGTTTATCATAGTGCCATGCGGTCTTCATATTCATATCTTTACATTATTCTATTACCGCAATCTTAACATCTATTTCACCCCGACCTGCTCCCAGTCTGGCCTTGTAGCTCAGCTGGTAGAGCATCGGTGTACAAATCCGAAGGTCGTGGGTTCGAATCCCAGCGAGGTCGGAAATTAATTTTTCCGAATTTATTCCTAAGGGACTTCTCCCGGAATTGCCTCCTTCTAAGCACTATAACTTTCTTTCATTTCTATATCGTGCGAAGAATGTACTTTGCCGAAGAGAAATACAGAATCAAGAACCAAACAGACGACAATCAATTGAGCTGCGACCATTACCACTGAGTCCATTAGTAGCGCCTAACAGAAGAAGGCGACATTCTGATAACGAACAAGAACTAAAGATGTTACAGTCCATGCAAAGAAAACTAAACAAATGCGTTGTGAGACTGAAGGAAAATCAGAGATCACTGAGCATTGAATCAAGCTTTTGCACCAGAAGGACCAAGAATAAGATGTTAAATGACAAACGTTGTATTTTGTAAGATTGTAAAACGTTAGTGTCATGCGTTTTATCTCTATTAATTATAAGTCAATAGTTCCATAATGTAGAACTGTTCATGGTTTATAAATTTGAGCTAATGTAGCTATATCATTCTAGCAAGCAATACTATAAGACTGTATATGCAATTCAAACTTCAGAAAAACACCAAAAAAGAGAAGCAGATGTTAAAATGGCAAACAATTTGTGAGATATGTAAAACGGTAGTGTAGTGTATTTTATCTCGACTTATTAGAAGTCAGTGAATAAGTGATATATATGGTTTATAGATATACCTATGAACAAGTGTTTAACATTTATAGCTACATTATTCTAGCAAGCAAATATTGACTGAGTGGGAGGGCCGTATGCGCTCCTTCTGTACGGCATAACCTCGAGCCAAATATTTTCCCGTACGGCCCGACGTAACTCAGTCAATAAGCATTTTATCATATGACAGCTTTTTTTAAGCCATTTCTTTGATGAATGTATCGACTAACCTCAAGCCGGGAAGATACGGTTTTGTCGCGAAAAGGCGTACGGCCCCTATCACGTGACCAATTCCCAAAGGTTTTTTAAAAGCGCGCGTAGGACCGAAATACGGGTCATATGATAATAAGATGGATTTGTCTCGACTGTATTTATTCATATGCAACTTAAGCTTCAGAAAAACAGTTGATTTACTAAAATGTAAGCCATTATAAATATACATGTTGTAATAGTTATTACTAAAGTAAAATGTTAAATCATTCAATGACTTTTTTGCTTGCTTCCCTCAGTTTGTTTCTTTGAATTGAGTCAGTTTTATCTCAGTATGTCTTGCTCTTTTACTTTTTTTCTAAATTTTTTTAATCATTTTATTTGTCGTCCTTTCCTTGCTTATTTTTTTTTGGTTTCCTTGCTTATTTTTTGTTTTGTTCTTATATAGTTTTCTTCCCAAACAAAAATACATTGTCATCACCGATAAAGTCATTGTTCAAATTTAAATGACTGCCCAACTTTCTTTAGTGAAATTTGCCCGCAAAATCTGTTTTATTTCTTTCTATTTTGATCACTCATAAACAGAATGATTAACACACTGCACCTGTAAGCACGAACTCATGACATGAATGACAGTAATTAGAGCTACATCGGTGCTCTATGGAATAGTTAACTAGTCAAGGAAAATACAATCATTAAAGTTGTGAAAAATATTACTTCAATTACGAATAATTCATGAGTAGCAAGGAGTAGCCGCCATTGGGAGTCTTTACTCGTTAGTTTTATCAATCAAATTTGATGTTAAAACAATATTTTCCTAGATCTTCTTATTGAAAGTCTTTCAATGATGCCGCCATCTTGAATTAACTGTTCTTCTAAGTAACCTTGAGGTTCCTGTGTCTTTGCAATTAGATACGAATCACTGACACCGATAGAATTGACGTTGAAAATTCAAATTAAACAAGAAGTCTCAAAGCGCAGTTTAAAGAACATAAAAAAAAGAATGCCAACGTTTGCTGCTTTGAAAAAGAGGAAAACCATCGACTATAAAATTAATTAAAAAAAGCATTGAAAAAAATGGATGACAGTTTTTTGAGAGTCCTGAGTTTATCATCAAAACATTTTTTATAACATTAGAATATTCCTTGTTATTATTATCAATATCTTATAAACCGAGCGCGAGGGCCGTACGGGAAGTTAAGGACCGAGTTTTTTCCACTGACTTAGGAAAAAAACGAGGTTCCATAACTTCCCGTACGGCTCGAGCAAGCGAGGTTAATAAGATATTTATTATATAGCATTTTCATGGTAAAATAGTAAAATTGATAGAGAATCGGACATAAAAATACGTTTTTTTTTATCATATGACCCGTATTTCGGCCCTACGCGCGCTCTCACTGAAACCTTTGGAAAATGGTCACGTGATGGGGTCCGTACGCCTTTTCGCGACAGGTCCGTACAAACCCGTATTTTCCCGGCTTCAAGTTCCGCGTGATTTTATTTATTTTTTTACATTAAAAAACGCGGTCATATGATAAAATGCTTATTGACTGAGTTAGGTCGGGCCGTACGGGAAAATATTTGGCTCTCGGTCATTTGTACGGACCTCGCTGCGCTCGGTCCGTACGGCATAACCTCGAGCCAAATATTTTCCCGTACGGCCCTCCCACTCAGTCAATAAGTACATAGTTCGTACTTTTCTTGTCATTCAAAATACAAGGGAAAAAGAAAAGTCTGAGAACCTTGATGGCAAAATTTGGATTCATTTTTGACTCTTTTTTATACGGTACAANAGGGAATAAAATACCCACCTTGGCTGACGAGGTCTCCTCTAAGGATTGGATACAGCACAGGATCAATACCATCCATTTCTTGTATAAGAAGTGTTTTGCCGAACCGTACAGCTAACTCAAGCCCGGTAGAGAAGTTGGAATCCTGTTGGTTGATGACTTCAAGTCTTTGGTCTTTCAAATTGGTCTTCAACCAGTCSGTAGCACGTGACGATGGATCGACAAGAAATGGTCGTACTGCGCTCTGACATAAAAAATGCATCATTGTTGACAATCACAAGCATGTACAGAAGAACAAAACAACAAAGCAATTTAGAAAAAAAAAACGAAAAAGAGAGAAAAATAACAAGGAAAAGCATGCTAGTTCCAAACCTTCATTATGACCAGTGCGTTCTCGATGGACAGGTCATCTGAAGGCAATCCTTCCGACTTCCAACCCAACTGTTCGCTTTCTGTGCTCATAAAACGTCTAAAGTCAAATCCTTCCAGACCCASAGTTTCACACCATCGTTTCATGGTGTCACGGCGTACGTCTTCTGGTGCGCTACTCAGATACGTGACAAATCCAGCAGCGAGCTGTGCTCTACGTGGTAGCTGCTCTAGCTCGGAGGTTAACTCGTGGACCTACAACACATTACCTTRTATTACCTTACACCGACAGTAAGTATAACTCGTGGATATARATAATTTATGGATTTRGAGAAATTACCTGTCCTGACCAACGGCTAAATTCGCCATCAAGTTTATTAACGAGGGCTTCTGCGGCAGCAATAGTTTCCTTGGCTTTATCAAGGTCCATCTTCAATTGCKCCGCTTCTTGTGTTCGTAACTCAAACCTAAATAATTGTTATGAATAACTGCTTTAAGTGCCACAAACGCACGACAAGAGTACTCAAGGGATGACGTCACAAAACGAAAATTTTTGATTTTGTAAATTTCATATTCTGAAAGTGCATCACTTTTAATGCATCCTTGCTAAATATGAGTGTCTTAGTTCCATTTATAGCGGAGATACAAGCGATTTTATGGTCGGATGACCACATACAACCGCTTGTACATTTGTTCTTGTTCATTTCGTTAGCTACTTTTTTCCATGCACTTCAAGGATATTTCAACCAATACGAAAAATTCCAAAAAAGTATTTTTGTGACGTCACACTTGGGTACCCTATACTATGTCACAATGTCCGATATCAGGAAAACAAAAACAAAAAAAAAACAGAATAAACCAAAGCTAGTAAAGTGAGACAACACAGCATTTATTACCGTTTYCTCATTTCTGCCACTTCTTTGTCAACTTTATCCAAAGCTCGTCCAAGTTTGTCCATTCTTTGCTGTGACTTGTCAAGATTTCTTTGAAAAGTAGTATAACATCAACCATTTAATATAGTCAAATAACGATCCAGATTTGAATCAGACGTGAAACTGCAATACCACCAACCAATTAACAAACTCACTTGAACTTTAATTTTTTCATTAATTCAGTAGTTTCATCTTTTATTCCCGTATCCGCAACACCTACTTGCAGTATCTTTTGCTTGTGAAAAATTACTTTTCAAAACGTTCCACTGACCTTGTGTATAAAATGCCCAGCATCCAGTATTTGAAGAGTGCTCTCAGGCATATATCCGCTCAAAAGAGTGTTTTCAAAAAATCATCCAGAAAAAGGAAAGCGATAAGACAGAAAAAAAAATTGTGGATACAAAAACTTCCGTGCACAACGCCAAATTTTGATTCGTGGGTAAGAAGGTATGATTTACCAATTTCACACCGTCTTGATACAAGCCACACCAACAAACTGATAAGAGGAACCTACCTCTGTAGYTGAGCTTGCTCAGTCTCCAGTGGCTCAATCTTCTCCAATACAATGGAAAACTTCACGTTGGCTCTGACCCATGCTGCTAACGGTGCAGCGGCAGCACTGGCACGCTTTGCAAGCTACAAAAACAATGTAAAGTCAGCTCTTACTAACTATCAGGGACACCCCCGGGGGATAGAGGGGGGAGAGAGTGTGCTTTTTWAAATTCACGTCATTCTTGATAATTCTTTACCTTRGGATCGAAAGAGTTTGCGTTTTTCGTCAACAATTCTTCAACACTGGATCTGATTTCTGGTGATATCTTGCGTGCGTCAAATGAACAGATTTCTTCTTTGACGCCACGTTTCGCCAGGAAACTACGAACAAAGTTGATGTTAACATCTTGACAATAGGTTGTATGACCAACAACAATATTAAAACGAAGAAAAATACCATTTAACACATTGCGCACGGCTTTGAGTTGTATGCCCACTTATTTGCACACTCTTGACGTCATAAAATATTCAAAACCCAAGTGGTGCGAGTGAGTTTTCAACATTTTATGAAGTCAAGAAAGTGTGAAAACCGTGTGTAATTTGTTTTTTACCACATTTAAGTCTAAAAATYAGTGAAAATGATTATTTTTCAACTGATAGTGTCAGTACAGTGTGGATGCCCTCTTATTTACACACTCTTATCAGCCAATCAGCGCGCGAGAATTTACACAAGTGTGCAGGGTCCGTGGATGGTCCGTGCAGAGTATCAAAAACGAAATTTTAAGGACTTTTCAAGGATCAAAATTGTATATCTAAGGAACATCATTATCATGCTGATTGTACATTTTTACCTCACAACTTCAACCTAACACGGAATCGCTAGCGCTTCGTGATAGAGGTCTATCTTTTTCAAGGAGTTTTCAAGGACTTTTTCGAAATTTTCAAATTTTTAAGGAGTTTCAAGTGTCCTTGAAAACGAGTTTTCAATTCAAGCACTTTTCAAGGATTTAAGGACCTGCACGGACCCTGAGTGTGGTTAAAAAAACTAAAAATAAACAGCAATGTCAAACATCAAGMAATCCATTGTAGAGACCACTATTTTATACGCAAACGAATTAATATATAAAAATGAATCAATATAGTAATATCAATAATATAAACATGATGTTCATGCAACATGCACAAGATCATAACATTCCTTACCTCTTCATGCTCACCCACGATGTATCGAAAATACCCATAAGTCTAAGCACGCCCTCAAGTATATCACGAATGACGTCAGGGGGCATGCGCAGTGAACGTATTTCTGATAGAGACTCGGGCTTAATGTTACCCACGGCGTCTTTCGCTTCTTGGACAAGTGGCTCAATCTCTGACAACTCAATCTCGATTGCTTTTTTTCTTTTTTCCAGTTTAACTGATTCTTCTCCCTGTTTTTGTTTCAATGTCTCCATTTCACTTTTGGATTCGCTGGCTCTCTGGTAAAAKACAGTAGAGTAGTATATGTCAGTGGATAGCGGTTCAGGTGTCCGGACTCCAGAAGAAAGACTTGATTAAACTGCTTCCATACGCCCCTTTCTCGTCACGCAACGATACTCGCATAGCTCCGTGACGACATAAGTAAGCCACACTTGTATTTTAAATGTTCATATATAGCTATTTCAAAAAGGTTGTCGCATAAAATGGCGAATGTCAATGGTCCAACGGCGATTGCACGACCGAAAGTAGCCAT